CTTTCTCTCTCATACAGGTTTCCATGTACTCCACACCACCTTGCACACGTGCACAGACACACACACACGCTGTCTCTCTCTCCTAGAGGTCTCTACACCCTCCTTCACATCAGCTTGCATATGCACACACACATACACATGCAAACACAAATGTGCATACACACATTCACACACACATTCACATGTCTCTCTCTCCCTGACAGGTCTCCAGACACTCTGTCACACCAGCTTGCACATGTGCACACACACACAAACATTTCCACATTCACACACCCACACACATTCATGCTCTTTCCAAGAGGTCTCCACACATGCCTTTACACCAGCTTACACATGTAAACACACACACATACACGCACACCCACACTTCCTCTGTCTCTCTCTCCTGCAGGTCTGCACATACTCCTGACCCATGCTCCTTCACAACACCTTGCACACACGCACACACACGTGCACACATTCTCTCTCATATGCATCTGCCCACACTAATTCACCCCAGGTTGCACACTTGTACACACACCTCCCGGCATGCCCCCTGCACCCAGGGTCAGGCATGGGCAGGGATCTCCATACCCCAGCCCATGGGCAGCTGCATCCCAGAGCATGCACCCCAGGCCACACGTGCCCCCACCCCACGTACCTGCCGGCTCTGGGTCACCGGGGGGCAGCAGGCGGCTCTGCCAGGCCCTGTCCCGCTCCAGCTGGGGGCACAGGGGCTGGGGGGGGCCCGGATCCAGGGGCCCCAGCCAGGACCCCCCCTGCTTCCCAGCTCCTACCTGTGCAGGTCTCCAGCTCAGCTCCGTCTGCTGCCCCACGGCCGGCTGTGCCCGGCCCGATGCCACGGGGATGGGCTTTAGCTTCGGGTCCCAGGACCTGGATGAGGAACGGGCTGGTGCTAGGTCCTCAAGCCCAGCAGAGCTGCCAGCCCTAGGCACTAGGGGGCACCCTAGGTTTGGGGGGGTCCAGGAGCCCCCTTGCCTATTGGGTTTAGGCACCTACCAGTCCAGGAGCTGCTGGAGCTGAAGCTTTGCCCCCCCTCGGGGCAGGGAGCTGCTTTGTCTGGGGCTGGCGCCCTGCGGGGGTAGAGGCGCAGGGCAGCGAGGTGGGGGGGGTCTTCCAGGCCACCCCCCTCAGCCCCCGGGAGGCACTAGGTCAGGGGTCAGAGGTCAAGGAATGTGCCCGACCCCCATTACCCTCTCCATGGAGCAATCGGTGTCCGGCTCAGCTCGACATCCTGTCCAGGGGGCTGGGGGAGGCTGGGGGTCTCCGGACAGCCAGGCCTGGGGACAGCAGCACACGGGGGACGTCAGTGCCCGGCAGCCCCGCGACCCCCCTGGGCCATCCCCACTGGGAGCTTTGGGCACACGGAGCCTCATGACCTCCCCATTCGGGGCTGCAGGCATCCAGACTCCCAGCACCCACCCCCATGCTCTAACCACTAGGTCCCTCTGCCCTCCCAGGACCCTGGCTCCCGCAGGTACCTGGATGTCGGCCCAGGCCAAGCCGTGGCGGTGCTGCCCCAGGTAGTGGTGCCAGGCGGTGCCCACAGCCCTGGCCCCCCGCACGCCCTGCAGCAGCAGCCCCGCGTCCCACGGGCTCACACGCCCGTCCCTATCCATGTCCAGCAGCTGGAAGTCCCAAAACAAATGGGGGGGGGGGGGGGGGCAAAAGGGGGAGATGGACCAGTCCAACACGCCTGCACATACATGCACACACGCATGCAGACTTGCACAGGTACATGCATTCTCCTGTACATGTGCTTACATATGCATGCAATCACGGACTTGCACGAGTGCACATTCATTTATGTACACACACAGGTACATGCACAGATATGCACAAACAGGCACGCACATATGTGCACACACACGGCCATGTTCCCAGACTTAGCACGTATACATACACACGCATACCTGCAGGAGTGTGCATGCACCTGTGCGAGTCACACATGCTCATGCGCGCACCCACATGCACACAGATTTACGCAGGCCTGACCATGCACACACACGCACACGTATACATGGGCTTGAACAGGTCCACGAAGACATACACATGCACAGATTTGTGTACAATCCTGCCAGTACACACACACACACACACATGAACACAGAGCCAGGCAGGCACACACATGCACACACACACAAGCATGTACACACATGCACACACATGCAGCCAACACACGCAGCACCCCCCCCCCGTCACTCCCCAGCAGCAGGGAACCATTAACCCTTCGGAGGCTGCCCAGGGGGAGTCCTTCCCCATATCACCGCCCCAAGCCTCCAGGGTAGCAGCACCCTGGGGAAACCCCCCAAACCTCCCCCTCCCCACTTACCTGCTCCCAGAGGTGGCTCCGCCATCCGGCCTCCACCAGCTCCTGCAGCAGCATCCTGGGGTGGCCCGGGGCCTCGGGGC